AGCAACCTTTTGCAAAGAGAAGAATGGTAAGGCCGAACTGGCCATTGCTACCTGGCCTTTGTACTAATCCACAGTTAATCACTTGGGCCTCCCTCTATAGAGGGAGGAACAAGGCAAAGGATGACCACAATAACAGTAACGTGGTTCCCACAGAGGAATATGAGTACAAATGAGAAGCGCACGGGGGCGGTCTCTTTCGTTGGAGCTTACTGCCCATCCAAACGCAACAGCGATTTCTCCCACACGTTGTTTTTTATAGGGGCATCTCAAGCTGGAAGTGTTGGCAGGACAACCTCCCTCTTTTGCTCGATAGCCACTAGTCATTTTGGTAACAAGAACAAAATGAGGACCTTCATTCCGCCATTTGAAAATGAAGAGAAGAATTTTTAATATTTGTGTATGGGTTTATGCTAACAGGTTTACACTCTGGTCATTATCCTTTGGTGACTCGCATCAGGAGATTCCAAGAAATAGACCCGTGATTCTCCTGGGCCCTTCTGATAGTGTATTGTCTACATCCTCTATGAACATACACAGCCAGATTTCCTTCTCGAGCCCCCTCCCACTCCTCCTGTCTCTCTGAGCTTCTCTGGTCCTGAGCATCTCCCAGGCATCTCATCTCTCACCTCCTTTAATAGCTCATTGGCAAAATGCAACCCAATGAATCCCTCTTCTTCCCTCTTATGATGTTTCAGAAGCTACTTGTCCTTCCTACCTCTCTTAACTCTTTAGGACTCATCCAATGCTTTCCTCTCTTTCTTTTACATTATTAACAGGAAACATGTATATAGACACATGTTGATGGTGGGTAGGTATCTCTCGGGCCAAAAGGTCCAACATCTTAAACCAAATGTCAAAGAACCTATGTCAATGAATGAAACAAATACATCACTTATCCACACTCTCTAAATAATCCATATTTAAACCCCGTATGTAGTATATCTTTTTTTTTAATGTCTTTCTCACAGACTACCTCCACACTGCCCTCCTCATATAAAACAATAGCCACACCTCAAAACCACAGCAACCAAAGCTCTCTCTATCCTGATTTGCAGACAATAAAACTGCCAGGTGGTACCCAAAAAAAAAACCCCATCATTAAATGGAATGTTGTTAAGAAATAGCTGTTTTATTTAACAGCTATTCATTTTTATTGAATAAACATTTTCTAGTATGCATTCTGTTAATTGACCTGACAGCATATGCTGTATATGGAGAAACTTCTAAACATTATGCTCTATGTAATATGCTTATCTGAAAAAGCTCTCATTTGCAGCAATATGGAAATAAAATTCTGCTTTCTAAAATTCAAGACTTTTAAAATGCATTAATCCACACAGTTTATGAAATTGCTCTGGACATTTTAAAATCCTTTCTTAAGGGGAAAAAAAAAAAAAAAACTTCAGTAACTGGTAATAGTATTTGTTGCTGAGTTTCGTAATGGAGTAGTGTATATCCAGTACAGAACTCTTATAGACCCAGAAATGGGGCAGGCATAATAGGAAAAAAAAGCAGTTATGGTATCGGGTAAAGAATTACCCAGTGGCTAAAAGAAATGTTCAGAAACTCTATCAAATTATCTTATTAGGAAACTATTGTTATAATAGTTTCATGGCCCAGATAGAAGTAGGCTTGAAACATTACAGAGATAATACATTTCGTTTTGAGGAAGGAAGATAGTTGGGGAGTGTGTTGGCGGGTTCCTCCAAGCTACTGGCAGCACCTCTCCTTGGTGATGGCTTCTGAGTGATGATGGTATCTTGCAGAACGACCAACCCCCCTGCCTAGAGGGCCACAAATGAGCAATGCTGCTGGGTGGGAGTTGGGGCAGCCTGGAGAGCGGCAGGCTCCTTGATTTCACGAGCAATCCATCCCCTAACAACTGTTGCCCTCGTAGGAATATTGGTCTAGGGTTACCGGATCTTCTGGTTTTTCAAGAGAAGATGGAAAAGCCAGATTCTCCTGATTTTTCTAGGTTGTCACCTACGTAATTTTTTTTCCTTTTTAAACAATTCTTCTTAGACCTGATTTAGCCAACCTGTAGACCAGTCCCAGCATAGAAGTCACTCATTCCACAGCTAATCTTTGTGAAAGCTCTCCATTCTGAAAGGGCACTTGCTATCATTTGTAATTATCTTTGGTAATAAGAATCAAACATGGAAAGGCTTGCATTTATTTTAAAAGTCCTGGCACTAGGCAAAAATTCTCCCTATATTGTCAACGATGGCACTGGTACAACTGGAAAATCCTATAACGTTCAGTGTTACACACAGCATAATTAACTCATTTTTATACCAAGCCCTTTTAAGCCACATCTTTTTGTTCCATGGACTTCTAACATATTTTACAGTTCTAATTCTCTTCCACTGTCCTACATTAATCAAAGCTGTAACCCCTGTTGTCTTTGTACTACAGAATCAGAATGTGCCCCTGGCGAGGAATGGGGGAAAAGTCAACAGGAATTAAATTTCAGTGCAACTGTTTACTCAACTGTGGCCTGCAGTTATTGAAATTTTATCCGTGGTTTTGTGTGACTACCGCAGTAATGAATTCAGCATGGCTGTGATTTTCTCACTGCTGGTATTCTCACTTCAAGTAAAAACCTGTAGAATAAAAATGACGAAAACAACCCGAGTCTATCACGTTGACCCTCACATTTCTTCAAAGCGCTGACCTGTTGCCGTTTTCTGGAAGGAAACTAGGTTCACTCTAGTCCAGCAAAACTTTTTCAGTCCCTTAGTCCCCCCGCCCCCAATCCATCGAGAGATTTACTTGTCCCCCAACAACCTGTGAGGAGCCTCATCATACACTTGGAAGGGCAAACAGTTGTCAGTATTTTGCCTTAAAAGTTCAAAAAGGGCCACCAAGCACAATATGTGAGGTTTTCGCCGCAATGATAAATCCAAGCACACTCTCTCTTCCTAAATCATATCAATAGCAAATAAAAATAAACTTGTTATAAAAAGTATTTAAAATGAGTTTTGAAGTACAACAAAAGGTACTGACATCCATGACACATAAGACCATGTTTTCCAAAGTGGTCACAGCCAAGATAAAGAGGGGAGATGTGGATAACTAATTTTGTTACTGATGCTTTTTAAGGAAGATGTTGTTAACATGCACTTTCCTAACTGTCTTCTATGAGACCAATGTGTTGTTGCTGATATTGGTGTAGGGATGTGTGTGTGTGTGTGTGTGTGCGTGTGTGTGTGTGTGAGAGTATGGTACATATATAAAGATTTTGGCCGACTTACTACTTTAAGATGGTAAATGATTTTTTAGTACTTCATATAAAATTCTAAAGAATTTTATATGAATATGAATTTCCTATTTATTTAATGTATCCTAAATACTAAGCTGTGGGGTTCCCACCCCATAGGTCAAGAGCACCACACCTCAACTGCTTAAGAACTGGTGGCTCTTGGCCTTTGTAGGGTAAGGACATAGAACACAGCACTCCAAGATTCCGGTGGCTCTCTCCATTGAACCCTAAGTACCCGAGAACACCACATGAATGATACACGCGCACACACAGATACTATCCTACCATCTGAGGATATGTTTTGCTAACTACCTCAGTGGTTAGAATTCTGCCACTGGCACTCATTTAAGTGCACGACCTTCCACACAACATACATCATAAATTCCAGCTGATGGGGTACCCAAGGTGCAGGCACAGAAGGTTCTGGACAACCAGGGACAGAGGTCACATCACATAGATGAAGTGCTCGTCGTGAGACCTGAGCATGTCTGCTAGTTTCCTTTTCCTTCTGTCTTAGCTTTCCCCCAGCAGGTTCCACTACCTTCTAACAGACTAACAATGTAACGATTCTTCATATTTTTAAAAACTTCTCAGCAAGTAAAAAAATGAAATATCCTCAGAGCCTGTCGAAGGCTATAACCCTCATACAAAAAGGGTTCCTTTCCTTCCCCAATATGCTTTCCAAGAAAATGGTTTGAGAAAAGGTTCGTCTGCCTCCTCCTCATCCCCCAAAGATTTCTAATATTTTTTTTTTCCAGAAAGGCCCGAAGATGCAGTGTTCTTTTTCACCCTTTTGCAAGGGCACCACAACTATGTACCGAGTAGATGAATCCAAGACCAAAATGGAATACAACCCACCCATTATCATTTAATAAAAACAAATCCTATTTCCTGATTCCGAGAGGCTGGAAAACTGTCTTCAAGCGGGTGCTATTTATTTATCTGAATTTCCCACAACATTTGGGCCACATAACACCATTTTCTGGGGCACCTTTACCATTTGGAAATATTTAATCCGTCCCTCACGGGTACCCACTGACATGACCATGGAGAACGTAAGGAGAATGAGTATGTCCCAATTTACATGCATTTGGGGGAACCACCAATAAGAACTAATGTAAAACATTAAGAGGACTTAGCCCCATACCAGCTGCTGTATGTATACAAGACACATAGGCCAGTGGTCCACACCCCGAAGTTCCACTTCTTACATTGAAGCCTGTGCTGTCGAAGCTATGCCTGCTGTATACCCGCTCCTGCCCGTCCGTTTCTACTGTTTGCTTCCACTCCCTCTTCCATCCCCTGTTCCTTTCATCCACCATCCCTCCTTTGGTGTCGTTCTTCACCAGTCTCAGTAAGCCCGTTTATGAGTATCACTTTTTAACTCAAGCATAGGGAACCATTTCTGCAATTCATTTTATCCCAAATACTTCAGCTTCAGGTTGCCACGGTGGGGCCTGAGAAGAGGTGAGCTCAAGCTCATCTTTAACAACTGCTCCCCAAGACAGGGGGCGGGGGCAGAGGGAGTAGCTTCCAAGAGTCTCGGCTCCCAAGAGCTTGAGCATTAGTCTCCCAGGGCCACCACCCCGCGCTGGATGCTGCTGACAGGCAGCCAGCCCGCCACGTGAGCCTCCAACACTCGCACGGGGGCGAGTGAGGAGGGCGAGCGGGAGCGCCAGCCCGCAGTCCCCCGCAGTCCCCCGCAGCCCGCGCAGCCCCGAGGCCACGGTACCTGCTGCTGCTGCTGCTGCACGTGCACGAGCTCGGCGGCCCCCGCGTCCGCCGCCGGCGTCTCCCCGTTGGACCGTCCTTCGCGAAGACTCCCACACTGGAGCAAGTGGTTGCCGCCGCTCGACCCGTTCTGGATGGCTGAACCGTTACTTTTTGTCTCAGTCCCAGATTCTTGCATCATGACTCAAAAACCTGATAGAGGGATTTTCAGGAGGGAGCAGGGGAGAGAGAGAAAAGCAGCTGTTAAAACAGTTGTTGGACAGAAGGAGAAGGGCCCTGCCTTCCGTGTTGCCAGACTCTGTAAACAGTTGTCCTTTTCTTTCACACACTCTTGGCCCTGGGTTGTGGGCTAGTCCCTTAGTGTCTGAGGACGGAGGGGTCGGGCCAGCTTCAAGAGTTCGTAGTGGTCCTTTCAAGAAGCTGTTTCCCCTTGGAGAAAAATCCTTTCGGGGGACCTCGGGATTTATGGTTAAATATCTATGACTATCTGGATGTTTTTCTCAAAAAGGAGTAAGTTGTTGTATGTGGCATATTAGGTGTAACATTAAATTTCAGTGTGTGCAGGCTCTGCGTTGGGGTGGTACACTCCTAGAGAGAAAGTCTCCAACCCCACGCTATCAAGACAGGACACACACCACGAGAAGAGCCATGAGATCATTTGAGCCGAACACCCTCACGGTCAAAAAGGCAAGAGCATTTAAAGATTCGTACTCCCCAGAATGATTCTGGTACTGAGAAATCTTCAAAATTGGTGATTCCAATGAGATCAGCCACATTTAGAGAGAAAGAAAAAAAAAAAAAAAAAGAATCCCCTCCCCCCACTTTTCAGGAGCTAAAAAAATTCAGACTCTGATCTTTGTCCTATGGTTAAAACTGTCCTAAGAAATCCTATTCAAAGTTAGGGGATTTTCTCTTGCTGAATTACTAACCTCTAGTTTGTTTTAAGGCCTGAAAGGTCTGGGACATCTTCTATTTATTTTGGAAAAAAATCTGGCCTTAGGCAGACCAAAGAAAAGGTCTGATTGCAAAATTATGAAGTGTCTAATAAAAAACATATATGTGTATGTGTTTGTAAGTATGTATGTATGTCTATATGTACAGTGCAAGATGTGCAGCTGGAGGATATCACCTACATACATGTAAATGTATTTCATGTTCTGCCCAGCTACTTTCTAGGTACAAAACCATTACCCACAATTCAGCTCTCAGTAAATGCATCTGATTATGACAAAAGATAGATCATATTTACTAATACCAAGTGTTACCAGTGCCGTACCAAGCCCACCAGCAGGTGATTTACGTATATTTCCCAGTTTAGTTCTGAATGCCACTGGTATCTCCAGTATGCAGATGAGAAAACTAGGCCCCCACGAGGACCATTTTAATTTGCCCAGCATAAATCATTAGTAGTGGTGCAATCAGGATTTGAACAAGTTCAGCCGGATGTCAACATTCTTAACCATGTGTTCTCTTACAGCTGAGGTGTAGTAAGGAGCAAAGAGTGTAATGGCAGGGTCATACTCCAAATTCACAGACGAGGACTTTGAACAGGAAAAGCAATAGTCACTAAAGGACCTGACAGTTCCAATATCAAAGCTGAGAAATGTCTGAATATTAAAACTTCAACGTGAAACACCGAACTCAGATCAAAGGGCTGAAAACTTGTAACAAATACTCGTGCATTGTGGAAAGACATGTGCAATCTGCATTACGGATCCCCCCCTCCCTTGCAATATGTGACAAAAGGGAAATTGAAATACTTGGGACATCTTTAGAGGAGGCTGCCCTCTTGCTGGAAGTTGGTTCAAGTCCCTTTTCTACCGACTTCCACAAAAGCCTAATGGAAAATTAAAAGCAGAAAAATTCACATCTTTCTTCCTTTCCTTTCAGTGCCCTGTATGATCCAACTTAAGTACAAACTTTATAAACCCAGAAGACATGTTTAAAATTAATCCAATTCTGAAGGGGATTAAGAATGGCATTTTTTGTTGTTGTTGACAGGTGGAAAACAAACTCAGAAGCAACAGCTGATTCACGCTCTTTTCTTGAAATCAGACTTTCCCATAATTAGAATCATTTAAAAACGGCCTTTATATCCTTACTGTCTACAGAGTATAAAACCTATCAAAAACACAACTAAAACTTTCTCTAAGATAGAAGAACCAGGCAATAAAAGTACCTTGTTTGTTGCCAAAAAGGAATTAATTTGTGCAATTGAGGGGGCTTTCCCCCCAATGTTTCTGTTTCACATAGCTGCCCATTCGTACAGAAATGAAGGAAAAGGTGATGTTTAGGTATTTGAGGGAGAGAATTGTTGTCCTAGCATAGTTAACAAGGAAACGCACTCAATTCTTAGATATGTCACAAGCATGCCTAAAGAGAAAACAAAAACACTTTTCTTTTTTTAAACTTTCTGGAAAGCCTACTCACATCAGCAAACAGACCCCGCCAAAAGATAAAAACAAGGCTTGCACGTGAGATCTTTACCTGCCCTCAGAAGGGGGCCTAGTTAGCCATATATCCTGTCCTCCGAGCTATAGGAAAGAATCTGCTTTTCTCAGCCTGCGACCATTGGGATGCCTGACCTCAGAACAGGTGTCTAAGAGACTGGCCCTGCTTCTGTTTCCTGGGTTTGACACCGTGGTGGTGGGTGGAGTAGGGACCATCTCCAATCCACAATTTGATAAGGTTTTGCTCTACGCAGTTCCAAGAAGACTGCCAAGTCCTCCAGGAGAAGTTCTGCAGGCATCTCGCCAAGCAGCTTGGCTTGCGAATCGGGTCTGTGAGAGTGCAGGCATTGGGACTGAAATTGCATAAAGGATTATTTTGGTCTGAGGATGTCCTTAATTAGTCAAGTGCTAACAGTAGTATGTAGGTTGCAAGATTTAAAATTTCCCATAATCTCCCACACCAATCAGGAGAAAACAGCTTTTTGAAAAGCACATGTGAAAAATTAGGAGTGTCGATGTCTAAGAACATTTCTAACAATATCTGGGCTGGCAATATTTCTTTCTATGGAATGTTCCAAGCCATTTAATAAGGCTTTATGTCTGTACAACACTTCACAAACTACAAGGCTCTCTGAGGTACTTTTCAAACTCATAACAAGTCCATCAAAGAGAGGAAGCAGGTGAAATTTATCCCATTTTACAGATAAGAAAACCAAAGCTCCGTAGGTTAAGGAATAGATACAGCCATCATCCTTGCTTGTTTCAGACGTGAACCTGTCCATTCTATGAATGACGGAGAATTTCCCATTTGCAAAATCCTGGGCAAGATGGTCCATTAGTAAATGAATGAAAAGAAAACTAAGTAATTCCAGGAAAGACAGTACCAAGGTGGCAGGTAGACAAACAAAAGCATCTAAAATACGAAGATGAAAGTGTCCGCATTCTTTAGCAAACACCTCTATTTGTCTTTTTCTATTGAGTTTTACAATTTGAGAATCATCTGAGAGCAGGGCAGTGTATGCGAGAGGCACATGCATTTTCTGACATCGAACACTGTACCTTCTTTTCTTAGCGGGACCTTGTCATAGACACTCAGTTTGTATAACCTCCACTTCCCTCTGGGACTCCTTATAACCAATGAACTGCCCTGCTCCACGGCAAATCGAGAGCAAGAAACGATACGCCATCAGCTGGAGCGTGTGGATACGAAGGCATGGCTCCTGGAGGACGTGACCATCCCTCCCCACTAATAAGCCCTCTGGAAATAAACACAAATCTTCCTCTGGTTTCTTGCGTGTCTTCTCTGAATGAGCCGGTTCTGTTTAAGTCACATATGACCCGTTCAACACACCCCTGCGAAGGCAGAGGTTATAATCCCGTGGATGTCAGAAAGCGGAAGGAAGCCAAAATGGCCCACTTCTGGTCTTGCTTCTGGAAGCGTGACAGAGCTACTGATTTCTGAAGATCGATTTTTGTGCTGAAGGAACTTGTAGAAAAGGATAAGAACTGAGTTTAGCCTGCTTATTTATTGTCGCTGCCAACAGAGCATACCCTGGACGTATTCTGGAAAATTCATAATGTCCAGGCCAATGTATTTATAGTAAATTAAAGCAATGCTTTATTATTATGATTATTTCCTTGGTTACAGTGTTGATGCTGAAAATTTAAGGAAAATAAAGTCCTTGTTATCATGCTTGTGAAAGATTTTAAGCTAACAAAAAGTTCAGTCTTGATTCCAGGGCAGTTAATTAAGGTTGACCAAGTCAGGCAGAAGTAAATTAACTTGGCTGATCAATTATTTATATGAAGCAGAATAAATGCCCTTAAAGAACTTGGTCTGTTCATGAAAGGATGTGTAAATTAAACTAAACACAGTTTTGTAAAATATATTTCTACTTCTATGGGAAGAAGAGAAGAGAAGTTAATGGTGAAATCACTTGTAGGAAAATGATGACGGTGATGACATGGTCCTCCCCCAGCCCAAAGCAAAGATCATTTTCTCATTGTTCATCCAGTACCAGGAAAGAAGGAAATGGGAGGTATTTTGAAGAGATAACAGAAGCTCTTGGGGGGGGGGGGCATGGGGGTAAAAGGAAAGAAGAAAGGAAGAACATAGGGAAGGGAGGGACAGAGAAGGGGAAGAAGGGTGGGAGGAAAGGACAGAGGGATGACAAGGAGGGAAGGAGGAAGAAAGCAACTCTAAGAATGGGGTGATCATGTGAACGTCTGTATTGTGGAATTACTGAGCAAGAGGTGTGCCTACTTCATCAGTTAGACTCTGTGCAGAGTTTACAGACAGGACAAAAATAAAGGTGGGAGTCAGGCTAGCTCTAGTTCCAAAGAAGGACTCATGTCACATCATGATGATTCAAAGTCCACATTGATCATGTTCATGTGATTCAGGAAAGAAGAAAAACTTGTGCGTATTAAGATATAAAGCATACATTTACTTCTGGGTTTCATCAGATAAATGAACGGTTTCCCTTTAAATGTGCAAAAGGTCGACCTGGCAACATAATACACATAAAGGAGTTTAAAGGAGCACAGTGCAGCTAAGGGGATTCCTCCCTGCCGGCAGGCAAACAGCAGGGTGGCCCAGGACACAAACCCGGTGCCTTGCTCTCCATCTTCTTGCAGGAGTTCTTCCCACTCAAAATAGGGACTCAAGAACAGAAAGCATCCCCAAAGTAAGGCCGGCTTTGACTATGGAGACTTCGCATTTCCTAGCACGTGGCACACGCT